CTGGCTTTGGTGTGCTGGGCCGAGTCTGAGTTCTATGTATATTCCCTCATGTGTGTTATAGTAGAGGTCCTCATCCTCAAAAGACCCCTCACCTTCTGGCCCACTGCACATCAGAACAAAACATGAATTTTTGCTAGTAACTCTTTACTACATATAATCAGGCCAAAAAAAAAAAAAAAAAAAAGAAAAATCACCATCATAGGCCGGAAGCTGAAAAAACAAGATTGTACAAGGAAAATGTTCCAATTCAAAGAAAATCTATTCTGTTCACTTTGCTATGATGTCTGAATTCTTTTTAGAAACCTGTTTATTAGCTTCCAGCATATTTGGGATATGGGAGAAATCCATGGATTGCATTCTCCATGCATATGTTAAGCAAGCCAACCTTGTCTTTTGTAATAAAACAATTTTCTTCTTCATAATCCTTCAGTACCCTTAACAACTTCATGGTTTCAGTGGAATGTTAATACATTAGCTTAAACAGCAGCCTAGGAGGTTAATGTATGAACACAAACATTTACTATTTCCAACCAATCACTCTAAATCAAACTCTGACAACCATATGAGTGTATTAAAATATATTGATTAGCTGTACTCCAGTGTAATGCTTACTATAATCAACTCAAACACTGTCCAAATATCAAGAATATTAAAGGACATATGCATAACTACATTTGTGATCTTAATACAGTTACCAGGCACACATTTTATTTTCTAACCTACTGTATAAACAGCAACAATGAAATCCACTTTGCAATATGAAAACTCAACTGAACAATGCATTAAATGAGAGAAAAAGTAATATGCAATACTCTTCATTACTCATACACTTATATTAATATACCTTATATATTAAGAAATAATGAGACAGCCATTGTTAATGCAACATCTAATTTCACTATATCTATTACACATTACATCCATGAGCACAGTTAATCTTAAATCAATTTTATACGATAAGATACATATGCCAATGAAACCATGAAACCTCAGAAATACTCAAGAAGGGTAGCATTACATGATGAACAAAATATTCCTGAAAATAACTGATAAGATTCCTTTCCACATTTCATTCAACATCTACACAAACAAGTCCCTCCAATTACTGTACAGCCATCTCATCATCAGCTCCTGTAAAGCAAGCCCATATCATCATCAAATATAGGCAACAGTAACTACACACAAATATTTACAACTTCAAAAGCATATCAAGAAGAAAAGGATGAGACAGAAATCAAATAGTAGCAGGAGTAAAAAATGGCACATGTGTAATGGAGAGAGTGAGAAAAAAGGAGTACAAAACACAAACCATGAATAAAACTCAAAACAATAATATATATATATACCTCAAACAGACACAGAAACACTGGGGGAGGGGGTGATTGGAATCAACAAAAGAATTAAAAGAACCCACAACAGTTAAACCCAACACAGAACACATGCTATCACAAACAAAACCAACAACACATGACCAGCACAGGACACAAAGCCAACATAAAAAAAATACATTTAAAAAATTAAACAAATTAATAAAACATGAGCCTTATTACAACATGATCTAGTACCTCCTTTGGCTTGAGAGTCACATAACATAGCGATTCATAGACTGCCTCATCGGAGTTATGCCGTCTCCGAGAAGGAAGGCCTAACGCGTTGTGATTAGTGCCAAAGCGGAGGCCGTTCCCCGTAGACACAGTTGGAGTGTTTGGAGCTTCTACATTGTGGCTGGTCAGTGAGAGTCGGCATCAATATTCAGGAATATTTACTAGATGAAGAGATTATTGCATAAGAGGGACATGACAATACCTAGAATATGGGACAAACATTTGATGCAGTAATACTAGAAGACATGATTTTAAATTTCAAAATAAAAACCCACATCTTACAAGGTCTACCATTATATCTGCATCAAGGCAGCCTATTTAAAGGTACCAATATAACCTTAATATAACATATAAACAAAGTATTTATCTACCTAAACATCTCATGAACTATTTGATTAAATAATAATGATTTCACTTTCACATGATATAACACTGATTAAAGATTCATATGAAGCTGAATACTGTGTTTGGATGCTTTCTTGACTCAGCAAGGATTAACCCATTGCTAACAGGATGGCAAAACTGGATGGAATATCCACTGTGATTTTAAGTTATCAATTTTGTTTACATATGAATGGCTCCACAAGTGCTTAGTCACCAAAGAGTCAAATACTAGGCCAAACTTTCTCAACTATTTATCCTTTTCCTTGATTTTCAGAAAAATACTGATTAATTTTTATTGCTATTAGTAATGTTAATAACATTGCAATAATCATAAAACCATTATCAATAATAACATTGATATCAATAGCAAATCATGAAAACTCTTGAAAACTCAAGGCACTGGGAAATCAGGTGAGTTCACTAAGGCCTATTAATTGGCTTCTTGGTGGCAGAGCACCTTTCATGGAACCATATATGTACTAACAAAGATAGAAGTACATTGAACAGTATCCAGTTGAAATTAGTTAAATTGTTTTTGAGCAATATCATATTCCAAGCATCCTTTCCCCATATCTTTCCTTTCACTAACAATATCTAGCTAATCAATCTCTCTTTTCATTGAAACAATGGAAGGATTATCAGATACGGCGCACACAGTCACATCCATCAATGTTCAAATAATTCAAAATGCACTTAGATGCTTATGTATACTTGTGGTAATGGCTTTTACTGCCAGATCTCTTTTGAAGTCTTTTTAAAAGATTATGACTTCAAAAGTTTTATTTGTTTTTCTTTATATGGTTTTGTAATTTATATTAAAATTTTTAATTGCATTATGTTTCATTAATAAGAAACCACAGACTAATTGAACATAAATCCTTCCCTGTCTATAAAGCTTCAAGCTCTTTAAATGATGTAATTTTCAAATAAATATTCATGCATGATGTTTGTACAAACTATTATATTTAATTTTCATTGGTAAATCTAAATAATTTGGTGTAAATAAAAAATCCTGTCCTGCATGCCTTCCACATTAACCCATCAATAACAAACAAGCTCTTGTGTACCCACTCACACAAGTAGTATGACAATTCACATTCTAAAAAGTAGGAAACACTTTTTTTGTAGGCTATTATTTCACTGGATGTCTAGAGAAACAATGATGATCAGAAACACATTTTCAAAGGTAAAAATATTCGAACACTGTCATTTCTTGGTATCTTTTTTATCAGTCATTAAATTTTGATATTCAAATATCTAAACAACAGGTAATCTAAGCAATTTATTGTCTTACAAACATCAAGATGGAAAACATTTTGAACATTCAAGTGAATATGATGAATTTATAGTCTGATCAGATCACAAACAAAATATTTTTGTGAAATTTTCCCATTCCTTTGAAAAAATTACCTGATGTGCCATGAAAAATGGCAGATTGATTCTAAAATTGACAAGCAAATTATTCCAGTAAATCTGATCAGTTTTGAAAATATCATATAAGTGCAATAAAAGTTGAGAGATTGCAAATGTCTGCAGTCACCAAATCATAATTTCTAATGAGCTTGATAAGTCACTCTCCCAGAATGATTTACATTTTTTTTTCTATTCAGAACTCAAGGAAGGAATATTTCAAGAAATTAACTTTACTTCTTTTGCACCCATTGAGTAGATACATCTAACAATGTTCTATCATCATCAAATCAAATCTACCTAGTCTCTACTCTCCATCAAAATTCTAATCATACTCACAACATGTAGCCAGCCTTCCATCCTAATCGACCTGAAGTTTTATATTATTCCACTTCTAGTCCTTACCACTTGCCTACCATTAACATGCCTCTGCATTTGATCACATACCCTGGCCATTTGGCTTAGGTCATTCCAATTATAAATTTTTATCATGACCTATCAGTAACTAACCCAAAAGCCTTCACCTCTTCCCTTAAGATATCTTTAAAATCAAACTCCTTGAAGTCCTCCGTAATTTACCACAGATTCGATCAGAATCCACTCTTATCAACCTCAAATATACTAGTAATTTTTGTCTCTCTACCATGAATCTATTCTCTCACTTTCTTTACTTCTATTTATGCCTCATCTACTTTAAGTCTGCTCATAATGTACCCTTAATACCTACTCACAACTGCAAAGCTATACCTAGCCTACCCCATCCACTCCACAGGATTCATAAACCCTGATTTAATGAACTTCCATCATAGGCAACAAACCTATTAATTTTCATCACAATCCATTGATAGGCTGATAAACCAAGTCATCAACAATACATAATCATGCTTTTATATACCTTATATGAAGAATGCTACCTTTAACATCCTAACAATCATGTGGTTTAGAAACATACCACTTTGAGTCTCACACTCAATTTTATTTGACACATGTCCCAAACTTATCAATTTGATAAAAAAATTAAGATTAATAATTCTACATGGTCTTCCAAGTTAAAAAAGGACCCTGAAAAGCTTCTCATTCATAATAAGTTTAACAATTTGAAAAATGATCCTGAAATGCATTTCATTTGTAATAAAAATATATATATAACCTTAATGTACTTACTTCTCTATGTCTTTGACCAGGGTGTCATATATGGCCTCATCATATCGTCCATTAACAAGTGGAAATCCTCTGAAACAGCAAAAATTGTATTAGTACAACTGAAACAATGAAACCCTAACCAGTGTTATGAGGTTTTCAGCAGAATGAATGAATTCATAAGTAGACCATATGCCCAAAAAATGGGGGGTAATTTAATTTTGGAGGGTTATTGAATAAATGGCCATAGTATTTTACTGTATTAGTATATCACAAAATCCTAGTTATGAATTTATTAAATTTGAATATTTTTCTATCAAAATAGACCAGATCTATATAAATCTAAATGTGTTTCCAAAGATGGGAGCCACTTAAAGAAATATATGAATAAATAAAAGATCAGAAACAACACATGTGACTGTCTACCTGACACTGTTTAACTAAAATAAAAAGAGGACCAAA